AGGAGGTGAGGAAGGGTTGGACCTTGTCTAAGAAGTCAAGAAACAGGGATGCCAGAATAAGAAAAGATGTAGTTGAGGCAGAACTTCCTAGGAGCAAGGCAGCAGTGGCAGAGTATGCCCAACTAGGCTGGGAAGTGGTATGACAAGCGGCCTTGATGGAGGTGGTGGGATGTGACCAAGCATTGACCCATGTTGTGGCAAGAAAGCTTTGCCGTTCTGTGGGGGAAGCAAGGCTAATGGCAACCAGCTGTGGATGAAGGAAAAAGGGAGGCTTGGGATTACAGAAATTGTCACAGTGGTTCAGACCAGGACCCTTCTTATCCCTTATCTGGTATCCAGTAGCAGCCAGTGTTTTGTTTCAGAGACAAAACCCCTATTTGTGACAACGGCAGGTTCCCTCCTAGCCCTACTACTTAGAGGCTGCCTTTACCAAGACAGCTAGGGGTTTTTTTGGTGGTTGTTCTGTTTTTTTAATATTTGATCACCCCGATCTCCTCACCTGGAAGAGTGCCTGATCCCTTCTGAACATGGTTAGCCCATGGAACCCACTGACAGTACAGCACTGAGCAAAGCCTTTACCCATGCCTCCTATGCAGCATTTTCTTTCAATATTAGAACATGCCACCCCTCATTTCACTCGCTGCCTCCCTTCTGCTCATCATGCCTCATTCTAGACCATTCACTACTATTTTGTACACTCTTACACCTCCTTCTGAGGATGTAATATGTTGATATTGAGGCTGGTCATGAGGTGACCAGAACTGATGTTCATTGGTCACCAGATGTGCTGCACAAGAGGAGGCTGATCCCATCTTCTTGATATGATGAAACACTCCTGTGGATTTATGTAGCTGACTAAGTATGCCTAACCCTTGATGTTGCTCTTTTAATAGGTTTTTCAGCCCCTTTCGATATCCTACTTCCCCTAAGGCTTTAAGGGCCCTTTGAGGCCTACTTTAATATATGTAGCCATCAAGTTCTACACGTGAGACCCTGGGAACTCACAAACAGCTCTACGTAGCTCAGCTGGGATCCTGCTGGGAATTCTCCTGGGGAAGCCACCTACCACCATGCCTTACCATAATCCTGGGAGAGCTTGGCACATGATCCACTATGGCTGCCACTGGCAGAAAGCCATGAAGTGGACTTATATGTGCTTCCATCAAGCCACTTCCAGTCTTGGTTCTGCAACCAGAAAAGCATAGATTCAAAGTTACTTAGAAGGATATTTGATATTGAGGGTGCTGCTTTAATACCAGCATTAAATTTATAACATTTGCATATTAAGGAACACAATTTAAAAGCATTTAGAAGTATGGAAATGACAGGGAAGAAGGAAATTGTTTAAAGATCCTGGTGGTCGCTACAATCTCATTGTACTTAAGTCTAAAAGTCATTTGTAAAGTATCCCAAAAGCTGTCCTATCTAGCGGTCTACCTGCTATCCAACAGACATATGTCTAAATCAGCTTTAGGAATCATTGACTCTAAATGGAACATAAGGAACATGATGGAGTCCTTTCTTCCACAAGTAATGCAGCTGTCCAGCTGGTTGGAAAGGAAGAAAATAATTAAACATGAAACAGAAAAGGTCAGTGTATAGGATGTGTAACGAATAAAAAGAATGTACAATGCTAATGAACACACACCTCTCTGCAGCTGGTAGCCCATGTGCCAAAAGTCATAGTGGTGACTCTTCTTCCTCTTTCTGCACGGTCCCCAATATAATGGGGCTCCAATTCTAGTTAATGCCTTTGTACCTTCCCACAGAGCAAGCAGCAGTTGCCCTTTGAGGTACACAACTTAAACATGCCAGGGAGACTGATTGAAAGGGAATCTGTGGTTGGTAGGAGGTCTCAGAATAGAACAGTGAGTATGTAAGTTATGGTGAGGTTCTTCCAATTGTTTCTGGGTACCAGGTGAGAAAAGTTGGGCTTGTGTTTGACTGGGATAGGACTGAAGGATACTGAGTCTCTAGTGGGTGCATGATGGATGACATGCTCATGTCTGTGATTAACAGGTGATGTGTGAGCTGGAAGATGGGCCTGTGATTACCTTTTGGATGGCATGCCATGGGCAAATTTGAGGCACCACAGCCTTTGGGTGAAGCATTAATAATTCTATAAGCCATTGATAACACCCTTGAGTGAATTAAGTAGCCACTTAATCCAAGCAGACACCACGAGCCATTTTCCAAATCCCTCTGATTTTCAAAGAACCATTTAAGCACATTTAAACCTACCAACTAATTCATGCAAGAACAAGCAGGGCTCAGCTGTCTGCACCTCGCATTGTTCCTCAGAGCACCCTGCCACAAATAGTGGCCAACCCACTGGACAAGACCATATCACCTCTGAAACCCAAGATACTAAACCTGTCTCTTGCTTGCATACCTTGCCTATTCCCTAGGACTAGGCCAGAGCTGCCTGGCAGCAGCCCTCTCAAGTGTAGAGCAAGCTTCCTTGCTCAACATTTACCACTTGCATCACATACACACAGACCTGTACCATGCAACTACATGGCCCCAGTGCTCTCAGCATCACTATCACTCCATCCTCCCCCCAGTAAAAGCCCCTTTCCTCCAGAGCTCCACAGCAGGTCTCACCTAACCACAATGTGTCAGGAATTGGCATTTTACTGCTCAGTAAATCCACCTCCCGGGACGGCAGAACACAGCAAGTACATGAGCCCCCCTTCCTGCGCCCCCCACAACCCTAGGAGAAGTCTGAGGTTATCACATACCTTCTGAGAGTCATTCAGGCCAATTCACACAGGACGGGTTTGCTGATAGTATGAAATAACTTTGGCAATGTAATGCAGGTCCTTGGCCTCATGGAGACAGGGCAAATGAGCACCCTCCTTTAAAGACTGGCAATAGGCCTGAGCAATTAGAAGCAATTAGAAAAACAGAATAATTAGTCACCACCGACAGCATGGATCTCTGCCTTGTTCATAGATTTCATAGACATTAGGGCTGGAAGGGAC